ACGCGGGCTGGACCCCACACGTCCATGTGAAGGGTCTGCAGCGGGGCCTCCGTCGGGGGAAACTCAGAGGAGTGAGGGGTGGCACGCTGCCGTCCCTCGACACAGGGAAGGCAGGGAGGGGCAGGGGACGGTGGCAGGGGAGGCAGTGACCTGGGGAGACCAGAGACAAGGTAACGGGATTGCATGCCACGAAGGCGCTGCATCGAAGGGTGCCCAAGGCGGTGGTGCCAGAGGACCGTCCGGTGCGACAGGGTGCGACACGAGCAGGGGGCGGACAACTGACCTGACGCAGACGCAGACGCCGCTACCTGAGGGGACTCAGTGGTCAGTGTGTACAAGTCCGACCCCGGCTGCCGAGTGAAGGTAGCCAGGTGACGACCCGTCTGGGCACACGTGCAGTGTGTCACACGCTCGTAGGCAGGGGTGAACTGGTGAACACCCGCATCCTGGAGCGCGGAACCCGCCACCAAGTTCGTAGAGAACGAGGGGAGGTAAAGGCCCGACAGGGTGCCGGACGGGACAGCAGGACAAGGGAGGGCACTTGTGGAGGTCGCAAGGACCGGACCCCCGGAGGGGTCAGCCAGAGAGACAGCAACCGGCCTAGGGAGCTGCTCGAGGGCAGTGCGGTCGCGAAAGAAACAGCGGGAGGCACCCGAGTCCAGTGTGAAGGTGTGCAGTGCATCAGTAGACGCAGTACCTGAAGGCGCAGACTCACAAGCACCTGAAGCAGCAGACACACCTGCACCTAGAGCAGCAGCCTCACCAGGACGTGGGGCATCAGACGCACTAGCACCTAGAGCGGCAGCCTCACTGGTCGCAATGCCTGGGTCTGGTGGCACACACAAGTAACAGTCACCCTCAACACTAATAGTCAATGCATACATGGCTCCAAGGATAACATCAAAGTCAAGTGCAAAGACATCAATGTTCTTTTTAAGTAGATCAGCCCAGCGGGGCAGCTCAGAGGCCTCAGGGAACTGTGCACGCCAGGCGTCGTCGAGACGGAAGAAGCAGCGCTGTGGCGTGTGGAACCTCCCACACGTCTGACCAGCGCGGTCACCTGTGCGGATGACATACGTGCAGGTACCCCCGCCCCTAGACCCCCCATGCTGAGAGTACCACTCACGAAGCTGCTGGGATGACGGGGTCTCTCCAAGACGCTGCTGCTGGCGCTGGACACCACCCGAACCTCCACGCTGCGCCGGTCCACCCCGACCACCACCCGAGCCGCCGCCCCCACGCCCACTGCCTCCACCACCACCACCTCCACCCCGGCCTCCTCCACCACCACTGCCGCCACCACCCCCGCCGCCGCCACCCACCCCCCCAGCCCCGCCACCACCCCCACCACCGCCACCACCCCCACCACCCCCACTGCCGCCACCTCCACCTCCACCTCCCCCGCTGGCACCACCACCACCCTTGCCCCCCTTGCCCTTGCCGCCCTTGCGCCTCCAGCTAGGAGCAGACGCAGCCCCGACTTCCTCAGCACCAAGGAAGTCGACAGCGGCAGCAGAGGCAACCGAGGGGAGAAGGGGGGGAGGGGAACACCCGTCAAAGAAGGGCGTGCGGGGGTCGCCACGAGAAGCGCCTACAGCATTGATGCTAGCCTCAGCTGCAAGCAGATGCTTCTCGAGCAGGTCAATGGTGAGTTCGGTGGGGCAGAGGGCGAGAAAGGTGTCCCTGACTGCGCGAAGAGAGTCTGGGAGACGAGTGACTTGGTGGTAGAGAACGAGGTACATTGGGGGGGGGTTCTTGGCGAGGAACTCAGCAGGAAGGGCGGCGCGGTAGCGGGTGTCACTAGTGCGGAGGTGGGTAATGAGGTCAGCGACTGTGGGAAAGGCGGCGAGATCGGGGAAAAGATAGGGCAGCGAGAGACGGCCTATCGTAGCAGAGGCAGGCGAGGAGTAGCGAGCGACGACTGCATCGTACAGTGCCTTAGCAGTCTTGTGCTGGCCGAAGTGTGCGCGCTCATCTAACGGCAGGTGGCTGCGAATGGCTAGGCGAGCGTGGGCGTCACGAGTCTGCCACTGGGAGCGAGCTGTACTGTCAGCAGTGTCAGCAGGTGCGAGAGCGGTTCCGGACGCGTGGTCATACAGCGAGACATCATCCTTAGCGGAGATCTGGAGGAAGAGGTGGAGATCGTCGAGCCAAGCATCAAACTGGAGCGGACGGCCCTCAGCATCGAAAGAGAGAACTGTGGGTGTAGTCATAGTGGCAGTAGCAGCAGTAGCAGTAAGAGTAGTAGCAGTAGCAGCTGTAGTGAGAAGAACAGCTGGAACAGTAGGAACAGGAACAGCAGGTGCAGCAGGTGGGGCGGCGCGGCTCGGTCAGGGCGGCGCGGCTCGGGCGGCGCGGCTCGGGCGGCGCGACTCGGGCGGCGCGGCTCGGGCACGAAGGGCAGCGCGACGGCGGGCCTAGCACGGTGGGCGGCGGCGCCTACGGTGCAGCTGCGCACAGGCCGCGGCTGGGTCCGAGCTGCAGCGAAACGCGAGCTGCAGCAGCCTACGCGCCTTCGTCACTGCGGGCGGGCTGCGACCTGCGGGCGGGCGGCGGTGGGTCGTGCGCCGTCCTAGGGGCGAGCGGTCAGGCTCAGGCTGCAGTCGCGCGCGGGCGGCGGCCTACGAAAGCAGGGGCGGCGGCCTACGGGGGCGACGCGACTGCCTACGGGCGGGGCTGCGTCGCGCTGGAAAGCCAGCCGGGAGGGTCGACGGGCGGCTAGCGGCCTGCTCGTGGGCGGATCTAGCCGCGCGGGCGGCCTACGGTCGTCGCGCGCGCGATTCGGGCCGCGCGCGGGCTGCTAGCGGGCAAAAACGAGGCCGCGCGCGGGCAAAAATAAGGGTCGCGCGCGTTCTTCTAGTGGGCTACGCGACCAGGAAACGAGGCGCGCGAGGGCGCACGGACAGCGAGGCGCACGAGGGCGCTAAAGGAAGAAGGCGCTCGAGGGCGCTAGCGGAAGGGCGGGCCCTTAGTACCAGGTGGTCCTAGGTTCCTAACCTAGGCTTCTGATGCCATGTTAGAATGAGAAGGGTTGTTGGGACTAGAAAGAAGGAGAGTACAAATACAAAACCTAGAATTGTGTACCCCCTAAGGCTAAACCCACTATAGCCTACAGAACTGTAACATATATGATGTTTGACACACGATTCGAATTTCTTCGGACACTTCGGGGTTGATAAAACCCAGAAACTATTGCACCGTCAATATTATTGGCCTGACTCCTCTAACGACGTGCAGCGATATGTGTCCTCATGCAGGGTGTGCCAAGCTATGAAATCGACACGTCAACGACCAGCTGGGCTGCTGCAACCCCTCGAGCCACCCGAACGACCGTGGCAGCAGGTGACAATGGACTTTGTCACGGGGATGCCAGCTGGACCGTCCGGCAACGACGCAGTGCTCGTCGTCGTCGATCGCTTCACGAAAATGGCACACTTCGCCCCATGCCGAACAACAATCACAGCCGAAGAAACTGCGCGCCTCTTCATCTCAACGGTCGTGCGACTGCACGGCATCCCTTCGGCGATCATCAGCGACCGAGACCCGAAGTTCACATCAAAGTTCTGGAAAGAGACGTGGGCGCAGTACGGCACGAAGCTACAGTTCTCATCGGCATATCATCCACAGACGAGCGGACCAATCAGACCATGGAGCAGCTGATCAGGACAAACTGCCCCGACCCTGCCCGCTGGGAAGAATCCCTCGCAATGTTGGAGTTCGCTTTCAACAACGCGCCGTCCAGCACGACTAATCACTCCCCGTTCTTCCTGAATTACGGGATGGACCCAACAGTTCCTACGGCAACTACTCTCGACAACCCGGTCCCGAGGTCACAGACTTTTGTGACGGAATTTCAGGAAGTCCGAGAAAAAGCCGCATACGCAATTCGCAAGGCGAATATCACTTCCCGAAAATACACCGATCTTCTACGCCGGGAACTCGTCTTGACTACTGGGCAACTAGTGCTACTTGACACGAAGAACCTGCACCTGCCCGGACCGTCGAAATTACGGCCACGATTTTGTGGACCCTTCAAGATTATCAAGATGGTGACACCTGTCACCGCGAAGCTGCTATTACCCGACGACTGGCGCATTCATGACGCCTTCCACGTCAGCCTGCTTCGGAAGTTCGTGCCAGCCACGACCGACATCGCAAGGCAACAAGCTGCCCCGACTGCACGACCTGTCCCGGAACCAACTCTCGAACCTTCGAAGATTTTGGCACATCGGGTTCGCCTCGACGCAGCTGGTCGCCACGTGGATTTCCTAATCCGTTGGACTGACCGCACCAGTGAGGATGACACGTGGACCGCCTCATCACTTGTTGGTGATTATTTGGCGCGCAAGCGTGTCTCGGATATCGACCGCCTTTCTTAAGGGGGGGGGGGTAGTGTAAGGAATTTTCCTTAATTCCTTATCGGGTTGACTGCTACGCGTACAGCCCGATTTTCGGACTTCGCACGTTCGGCCGATTTCAACGCTGCCGAGGCTCCTCGCGTCGCCTTCGGCATTTTCCATCGCCAAACATGCACCCCAACCTCGCTCGTCCGAGGTTTCCTCCTAGCTAGGCTAGCTCCTACATTAGTGTGTTCCTTCATTGTATTCTCAGATCATTCAATCACAGTCTCGTTATTCGTTTACCTGCGCACTCTCTTTTACAACTCATAACAGATAGGATCCTTCATGTCGTGGATACTTACCATATCTGCCGACCAGCTTTAAAAACAATTCATTCTGTGAGTTGTAAGTAAATGTAGTGTATGTCAGTTGAATGCTGTTCAGCAGCCCCAGGCACATGGATCATCCTTGCTTATTGTTTTGAGCGAAACGGTTTCAATCTAAGTTCTCGTGTATATGGAAACTGAACATACAGATCTATAGGAGAATTGCCATATTGGAAAGGACAGCAGTTTGAGGATGAAACTGTCCTTGTAACTGAGGGTAAATCTTGGAAACTATAGAACAGTGTTGGGGGAAATGGTTGTGGTTTCTTTAACATCACTCTGTTGCCTTCTCCACAACAGCGGGAGCAGCTGCAGGCTCTTCTGGCTTCTCTGCTACGGGTCTGAAATGCACAGTAACACAATGGACACACACACAATGCAGAAGAGTTGAAACGGATTCCTATGTCTGAAAACAACTAACTGACTCAGACATCATCCAGGCTTGCATTTCTAACATGCCACACAGGGGAGTATATTGGACAACACATCACGAAGCATCCAACTCAAGTTATCAAACCTGTCGTAGATTACTCCAGAGACTGCTTGGCTAGAAAGTAGCGTCGTGTAAGAAGAATAGACGCCCCAAAGAGAGTCAGAGAGACGGGCTGACTTTCGCTGGCTGTTCAGATGCGAAGGGACTCTTGACATTGCCAGCAGGAGGCGGACTTACTCTGAGAGGGCCCATCGCGACAGCTGGATGAGTTGGACGGTCTCGTTGGCAGGGAATGGTAGGGATTGACTGTTGCGTCGACTAAAAACGTCACCTTGATACTGTCATGAGAGAAGCGGACTCACTCTGAGAGGGCCCATCGCGAGAGCTGGATGAGTTGGACGGTCTCGTTGGCGGAATGGCAGGAGAAGAGGAGGTAGTTGCGCGGCTGCACGCGCCAGGCGAAGCGCATGAACAGCGCGGAGTACACGCACATGACTGTTGTCGAAACAATTGGAGTCAGTTTAAGGCGGAATGGATGTGTGGAGGTGGAGGAAGGGGGGAGAAAGGGGGAGATGGGATGGAGAGGGGTGAGACGAGAAGTTTAGGACAAATCACTAGCCTACATTAAGTCAGTGTCAAGCGAAATTGTGCGTAAGCGCGTCTTGCCAACAATCCACCGCCACCCAGAATGCTCGCAACGTGATTTACTACAAAGAATGGACCGAGACGAGGGAAAGAGCAGGAACCGATGGCTCATTACAGGCACTTGATCTGACGGTACGGCTTCAAAAACCGAACATCCTAGCAAAACAAATGGCAAAACTCGTGAGGGTGATGCGATCTTGAAGTGCACGTCTCCCACTGTGTTCTCATAGTAGTTCCTTCATGGCATTGTCGAGAACGAGGACCAGGGCCACTGTTTTCAACGCCTTGAGCCACTTGATGTCCGAAGCTAACGAGCAAAGGATCACTAATTCTTAGAACGAACAGGGTGGTCAGCTATCCAAACAGACCTGAAGTCATTTTTGGCGAGATCATGTCGACCGGCTTTTGCATGTCCACTAGCCCCTGAATACCAAAAACATCACGGAAAAATAAAACAACAAACGGTACATTAAATACAGTATCAAGAAGATTGCAGTAAATGCAGACGTAACACTCAACTCTGAGGCTTAAACGAGCGTGGATCTCGTCCTTACCGCAATGACGAAGCCCCAGTTGGCCAAGGGACCCCAAAAGTGCGACGTCTTAGGTCCCACTGGGCTGTTCCAGAACGCCTTCGCCGCTGCTGATGCCATGGTGGCTTGTCAACAAACACGTATGGAACAGATACTCTCAGATGCAACAAGCTCCGCGAAGACCACCCAGCGATGACTCAACAGCGATAAACACGCTGCTGAAACTGGTCCCTTCCTGGTTAGGACGGGATGGTGCTGCTATGGGGTATAGGTACCTGTAGGATGGAATCTAGGACCAAAATTCACCAACAAAAATCTACTCTGCACTAATGAGAGCAATGGAGGCTGCAAACCATGGTTCTGTCGTGCTGAGCGGACAGATGGAGTGCCGTGGGTTAGGGAAGGGTTCTTTGCGATCGGGTATGGTGGAGGGAAGGAGGAGGGAAAAGTTAGCCGAGGCTGTGATTGGTTAAACAGGGGACAATGCCTGTCTTGTTGCCCTGGGGTTGATTCGTCAAGTAAAGGTGCCCTGAGGATGAGGTTTTGAATCACCCGAAAAGGAAGGGAGTGCCGTGTTACTCTCCCAAAGTCCTGCTAAGAGTTTGTTATTCCAATCCGCGTTGTAATATGTGTTTTCCAATGGTTGGGTACCGTTTCAAAAGTGCAGATTTTAGTGGGAACGATACCACGAACAGCACACCCGGGGGATTTCTCCGGAACTGAATGTCGTGCTCAGCCCAGATCCTATCCCCAAGAAACTGCACTCAACTCCAGCGCAACACACAAGAAGCAAACTGCATGTGCCACGTCCAGCAAATGGCAATGACGAAAACAGAGCTGCACCCAGAGATTGGGGGATCTTTACACTGGCAAGAGATCCACGTCAGAGCGCGTAAGCGAAACTGTCCTCGAACTAAGGTAATTGATTATATAGCATTGGTGTGTTATGCATTCAAGCATATAATATGTATTTGCTACTAGTGTAGTGTGTACTACAATCAAGAGAAAGAATCTACCTCGATGTAATCAAGGAATAAAAGGTAACGCAGTGCACCATCCATTGCATGAAATATGCAAGGCCTGGATTGTGTAGGTAGAGTCCAATTTAATGGCGCCATTGACCATGGTGCTAAATTGCTAATGCAATTGGAGGCCCAAATGCATTGTTCAGTTTCTGGCTTGGATCCAGAAGATGTGAGTGTTGACGGGGGAAAATTACTGTTTTCTTACCCTGCAACCCTCACATCATCATTACACGATACCGTACCCTGATGCAGGCTGAGATATTATTACTGCTGGAGGTATGTGTTAGTACTTCAACACAGCACCTTGTGTTTCTTTGGTGATCTAGCAGATCCTTTGCATGTTGCTAGTGCCTTTGTTATCTCCAATAAACTGCAATCCTCAGCAATGCTAGCAGTACCGTACATTGATGACAAGCACTGCTAGCCATATGTACAACAAAGGGAAGATAGGGCTAGACACGTTCAAACTTGACACTCCCTGCAGTTCCGTATAACAGGCTAGCGGAAGCAAACTCCACGAAAATGAACACATTTCACATGTACGCAAGAGCAGCATCAGACACAGCGGCATTTCAGCTCGCGCCTCGTGCTCAAGCCATGCCATAGTTACATGGTTAAAGGGTTGTACCAGTCAAACACCCGAGGCTCTGCAGCAGGCTGTCTCATTCCTGCGAAAGACCAAATTCCTGCAAGAAACACATCAGGAAAGCACCCCATACAAATACGATGAGGCAAGTTACATGCTTGTCATCAAAAGCTGGAAATCCTGGGAGTTGAACTGTTTAACGGAACGAACAAAAATACAAGATCGACTCACACAGTGAGCAGCCTGCCGCGAGCAGCCAACTAGCGAAGAAACGGAATGCGAAGGTGATATAACAGCCGCACCCTGGAAATGTACCTGAGATTGTAGGGGCACTGCGCGATGTGGGGGAGTGCTGCACAGTTGGAGGCGGTTCTTGACGGGTTCGCTTGATAGTTATGCTCTGAGTAATGCGAGGAACGCTGTCAGGAGCCTCTTTTGCGGCTACACTTGCACGGCGAGTACCCCGACTGAAATCTGCACACATGCATTCAGTGACAGCACGACGTCAGCATCCGGGAAAAAGCAATAGGGAAAATCACAAGAAGGTCTGCATCTCATGCAGATCTCGTCCACAAAAATCGACTTCCAGTAAGCATTCAGAAAACATAGCTTGAGAGGTTGTAATGAGAGCAGAATAGTACCGTGTGAGTCCAGAGTGGAGCGTGGGGAGCTGGAACCGCTGTCATTGCGTTCTAGCGGCGTTGCGGGAGTGCCGCAGGACGACGCAGACAGCACCGGCATCTCCGCTCCGCACAATTGCGCCCGGCCCTTCACATCTTGGAACATTCTGGCTAGCAGCCTCATATCTTGAACCATGTGGGACCACGCGAAACAGGTATGCACCTCCGAACAGATCTGTACGAGTAAACAAGCCCAAAAAGACCAGGGAGTCCGGGGTTGAGTATTTTCTCTCTGGAATCGAGTCCAGCTAGTTTGGTTGGTTGGAGAGGTGTGGGTGAGAGGGACGTTTGAGATTGCCTTTTGTATCATTCCTGGGGAGAAGTCTGCACGAGGCGATGGCACATGCCTTGTGTATCCACCCAACCCCGCCGTTATTTGTATACCAAATAAGCTTAAGAACCTCTCTGAAACGCATACTAGGTAGGAAGCGGCTCGAGTGGGGACACTTGTTCCTTGTCTCCCTCTCTAAGCATCTCAGGATTGTGAAATCAAGACCGGGAAAATCTGCCTGTTGCGTGTGTGGCTGTGTGAGGTGGAAAGAGAATGTACCAATCAGAGGTGGAAGATATACTCCAGCGTGATTCGCCAGCACCTGGCTGGAGGGCCAACGCCGCAAAAATTGTGAAGTCCACGTAGCTTTAGGTGTGGGTTTCTGATGCGAGTGACGTGGCTCTATCCTAAGGGGGATTTTGGCGAATGGAAAGACGGAAAAAGAGCCACCTTCATGACACTACTGCGCTGCCTATGGAGCAAGCTGATGTGGCACTAATGCGTTTCCAAAGCAGACTTCCAATCGTCTCCCTAAAGGGCGCTCAGCAGTTTCGTTGGAAAACAGTGACGGATCGCTGTGGGGCGTTGAGATTGAGTAAAATATAAGCAAAGCTGAATGTAGACTACATAAATGAGTGGGTCACAAGGAGCTAAATTTCTCCCTTTGAAACGTGGAGCTTGGCTTTGGTTATGAAACCTAACCCTGTAATAGTTAAAACATTCAAGACATTTCAAAAATCAAACAAACTAAACTCTACTTCCCATCGAGCAAAGAACCATTGTAAACACGTCTCATTCACAAATCACTTGGTTGCACTCTTGTTGGCATCTGATGCTTTTGGGGCCTCCTCCGGCGGGCTTAGGCTGCCGATGGAGGAGAGCTTGCCAAAGGCCTCTTTGGCATTCCCGAATTTATCGTCCACAAACTCCTTGGCCTTGTCAAACACCGACTTGAGCTCCGCCTCTGGCGGCATCTGTTGGTCCACAAGGAGAAACAGAAAAATAGGGGCAGTTTGTGACAAGGCAGTTCTAAAGCAGAGGTGAAACTCCTCTGCCCTGACTACCCTACTTGCGTGCGTGCGTGCCTGCTTGCCTGCCATGTCTACCCTGTCTGCACTGCCTACTGTTGCAGCTCCAACAGACTTTCCAAAGGGGTGGGTGTAGCAGTTCAGTGTTTACTCACTCCCCTTCATAATGCCGAAACCGTACATGGCAGCTCGTGTTACACGAGGCACCCAGAACCAAACAAGCTAACAGAAAGATTCCAGAGTGCTCGCTCACTCACCTTCACGACATCTGAGCCGTACATGGCCGCTCGTGGGTTTGCGGGATCCTGGGAAAAGAGGGCAGCAGAGGGGTGAAGGGACAGATCCAGGCACGCAAGAGTCAGTTCAACGGAAAGGCAAACAGAGAATGTACCATGGTCACATATTCCATAATCATCCTCTGTAAACGGGTGATAGAATCCGCGTGTCTAACATTCAGTCAGGTAGATTTGTGGCAACAGCCATTATAACCTGCACCAAGAGTAGATGCGCTAGAGCATGCCTTCAATGCGCAGGACATCGCATTTGAAAGCAAAAAGACAAATTGCTATGATATGAATGCATCACAAAATGCCCTTAAAACACAAAGACATGATTCATGGATGCGTTGACAGTACACAATGGACAAGGCAGTTGCTTCCATGCCTTGCATACCGCCTCACACCATGGCAAATACACACATCACAACACGTACCATGACTTTGTAGCCGTAGTCGTATCCCGATGCGCCCTTGAGCATGGGGTATTGTCTCAAAGCAGCGTTGCGGAGAGCCTTCTCGTCCTGCTCATTGCGAAACACACAGTTGAAATTGTCAGTTGAGAGCGAACAGATGCTTTTTACAACGACCAAGACCAATCTGCTAGCAATCTGACGCACCAATTCCTTGAACTGAGGCCCTCCAGATCGCCAGCCCACTCAGTTGCTCAACCTTAGAGCAGCATCTCTATTGCAAGTAGTCGTATGTATCTTATAGAAGCGTTTTTATCTGGACGCATCTATCCTTCTCTATATGCACGAAGCATTGCCTGTGGTGCCAGGGCGGTGTGTGGCATGGGGGTGTGTATCAGGCCGGCGTGTGTGGCATGGTGTGAGTGTGTGAGGCAGGGGGGGTGTGTGGCAGTGTGTGTGTGTGTGTGTGTGTGTGTGTGTGTGTGTGTGTGTGTGTGTGTGTGGCAGAAGGGGTGTGTGGCAGTGTGTGTGTGTGTGTGTGTGGCAGGGAGATGTGCTGCAGCAGATTACAGCATTATTGACAGCAAGCCTGACTGTATGGTAGGCCACAATCTGAGATTGAATCCATCCCAAGATGTCAGCATTATTGACAGCAGATTATTTTGTTGTCAATCACCCCACGCAGCCTCGTCCATCTGCCAGCCTTGTAGATAAGCAAACCGCCTCCTCCATTCACCCAACCCACCTTGTACACGACGGCAGCAATGTTGCGCGTGAGAGTGCCCTCATACAGCTGCCAGCAACCAATATCTACTTGACCATCTCGTTGGGATCATCTTCACCCCTCCTAACCGCATTCCACCCACCTTGTACACGACGGCAGCAATGTTGCGTGTGAGCGTGCCCTCATACAGCTTCTTCCCCAGGTCGTTGCGCATCACCGCCAGCATCATCTTTGCCGCCGTCCCGCCCGTCACCACACTCAGCGGGTACCACCGGTTCACCTGCGAGCGAGAGATTGGAGAGGAAAGGAAATTGGCAAGGGCCAATGTAAGGGCCGATATAAGGTGCGCCATTTTCCTTACATCGCCCCTTCCATTGGCCCTTACATTGTTTCCCCTTCCATTTGTTCACCATGCCGGTCCGTTTCCCAATGAAACAGTCAACTGATTGGGGGACTCGACTAATCCGTTACGAATATTAAGGGACTCCGATAAGGTCGAATCGGCAGCTGAGGCGAACTCGGGCTGTAACAAGTTCGTTCTAGATGTGAACTGCATCGAACGGCTCAAGTACGACTGACCTGCCAAACCCTAAGCTCGCATCATGTGGGGAGAATACTCCGATCTATTGAAAAAACGCGCACTTGTTTACGAACAACAGCAGCGACAACCACCGCGAATGAACTCTTGCACTGACCGTGGCCTCGCCAATGAGGACTAAGCGGGAATTTCGACTGAATTGGATTCATCAGCCAAGAGCCAACTAGGGCGAACACACACTCGCACTGACCGCTTTAGTCTTGATGAAGAGGACGAAGCGGGGGGTGTCGTCTGACGGGTCGAATTCCGGAGGGGTGGGCTGCTGCTGCTGTTGTCTTCTCGCGTAGTTCTGGTTGCTCTTCTTTCCCTTGGCCTCCACCACCAACCTGCAACCCCAATTCCAATTCAAATTTAAAGTACTAATTCAAATTTAAACTAAACACCAGCAACAGGGTCCTTGAGATTCAAGGAGGGGGGGGGGGGAGGGGGGGGGGGGGGGGGGGGGGGGGGGGGAAGAGGAGGACGAAAAACGCTTTGGAAATCCACCAACATAAATCACAATGTACACTAGCAGTGTTTTCCATCAATATTGAAATACATATACCGAAGAAAATCAAATAAGAAGGTAGGTAAGGAAGACTAGCTTAGACAGAAAAAGAGTCGCAAGCGCACCTGCTATGCTGCCGGCCTGCCGTCTGGGAGCCATCCTGGCGGGGTCTCAAGGCGAGCGACGTGGACGACGTGCACGACGCCGACGACAGCTTCGATGCTGTCGCCACGCCGAGCCCTGCCGCCCGGACACTGCGCATGAAGATTTGAACCACGGGGGAATCGGGAATGTATGGAGAGGCAGTTCAGCGGGATAACGAGCCTAGCAAAAGATTGTGGGGATATTACTAGTGAAAACTTGTACTGCGTAGTCTACGAAAGGTGTTACCTGGACGCGCTGCAATTGGTCAAGGCAGCCATTCTGGACGTCCCAGGCCTAAACGATCGGCGGACAAGCTTCGCTGTCGCTACGAGATTTTAGGCCGTGAGGACGAAGCCAGGGATAGAAAGCTACTGATGTGATTTTGATAAGAGATTTGAGGCGAAGTAGAAGCTCTTACAAGTTAGGGTGGAGCCTGGAGCCTACTACCGTAGTCCAGATTCTGGTTCACACGTCGCGGTGGATTCGTGAGGCGTCGCGTGGCGAAACCTCCTGCACCCGAGGACAGACGACGCTGGCGAAGAATCGTGTGGTCGTTTTGGTGGACTCGTGGCACGGTCTTCGCCACCAAGTAAAGGCTAACGACGAATGGTAACTGGTAACTGTACCAAGCGATGATGTGTAATGGGCTCGCTCTCGAGGGAGGGGGATTTGCTCTCGATGGATGGCGTGGGGTGGTCTGCCACAATTCGTCGAAGAGCTTGAACATCCTGAACAACCAATGAGGACTTTTCAAACTGGATTGCTGATGTGTCACAGAAGCTTCGTTTCGATATTAGGCGCCCAGATGTGCTGGAACCTTCTAAGTCGATAGAAGTATAGAGACGATGGCAAAACATCACTTCTAACATTACTGTAAGATGCGAAGAATCGTGTCGCTATACAATGTGTAACATCAGTGGCGAAAGAATCGTGTAGAAACGTTGAGATTATAGTCTCGCAAGACGGGTGATTGACACGTTGTTGTCAGTAAACATTTACAGTACTCGGCGGGAAGTACCACTGCGCCTTGTACTGTACGACTTCAAACGCGGCTTCGCGCCAACAGACAGGTGTTCCCCGGACCGTCTGACAGAAATTACGACCGCCACAGGTTTCACGCAACTCAGGCCTAGATGTCATCTGCTCCCCGTCGTCGCAAATCCGGGAAAAGACATCAAAATAAAACAGGGTAACTAAGATGACGACATGAGCGACACGGGCCTAATTGGTTCGGCCCTGAGATTTCATTCGCCAACCTCTCGGGCCTACCATTTGTCAGCTGCTCTGTTGCACAGCAGAACCAGAATCCCTCTTCCAGCATATTGGGAGGACGACAAATACACGCACTGTACCACCACCCTTGGGACTGTACCTTGGGATTTCACCTCCATCACTCTCAGGATTCCAGTTGTCTGCTACTGAGGCAGACTAAATAAGTAGTTCCCCTCGTCTTCCCTGAAGTGTCTCGTTCAAAGCTTCCGTCATTCTGCGGATCTCCTTACGTTTTCTACGTCACTTTACGCCATTCCCTGAAGTGTATCTACTCCAACGCCATGAAGATTCCGCAGAAGATTCAGGCGGCATTAGATGAGGGAAGGAAGGTGTTCTCGTTCGAGTACTTCCCTCCCAAGACCGCTGATGGCGTGGAGAATCTGTTTGATCGCATGGATCGCATGGTCGCGTACCAGCCTGCGTTCTGCGACATCACGTGGGGAGCTGGCGGATCGACGGCGGATCTCACCCTAGAGATCGCCACTCGCATGCAGAACAATGTGAGTACCTGAATTGCTGAACGTTTTCCTCCGAAAAAATTGTCTCTTCATTCATACATTTGTCTCTTTATTTCAGACTAACGTACTCCAACAATCTGTTTTAACCTTCCGTATTTCCGTCGTTCTCCCTGTCCATATCCTCACATCACGACGTGAATCTTGAGCACAGATGTAGTGCAATCTGTGCCTGTAAACCGTTTTTCAGGCCTCTCAAACACCTGATTCCTTCGTATGGTCCCCTCAGCCATGCCGAACATCCTTCCCGCAGATTTGCGGGAAGATGTTGATGCATCCGACCGGCACCACCTTGCAATATGAAATCGCAAGTTCGAGATGTCACAGACTTTTTTTATCTCACATCGCATTTGCGTGCATCATCTCTCATGGCTTCCCTGCAGATCTGCATGGAGACGTCATGCACCTGATTTGCACCAGCATGCCCGTGAAATGGGTTCAGGAATGTCTTCATTACCGTTTCCATGTTACATTTCCGTCCTCTCACCCTACTCCCCCCCGCCACCCCCTTTCAGATCTGCGTGGAGACGTCGATGCATCTGACGTGCACCAACATGCCGGTGGAGCGCATCGACCACGCGCTGGAGCACATCAAGGCCGCCGGCCTGCAGAACGTGCTTGCGCTGCGCGGCGACCCCCCGCACGGCCAGGACAAGTTCGTTGCCGCCGAAGGCGGCTTCTCGTGCGCGCTCGACCTGGTAAGACTGGATTGTACGCACTGGTGATTAACCTGGTGAGGCCTTAACGTGCCCGCTGGTAAGTCTGACTCGTACTCGTGTCCCACAGAGAACTCAGGATGATCCCCCCGCACGGCCAGGACAAGTTCGTCGCGGCGGAGGGCGGCTTCTCGTGCGCGCTGGACCTGGTAAGACTGGATTGTACCCACTGAGGACTGAGAGAACAACCTCCCGAACGGCCAGGACAAGTTCATCGCGGCGGAGGGAGGCTTCTCGTGCGCGCTGGACCTGGTAAGACTGGATTGTACCCACTGAGGACTGAGAGAACAACCTCCCGAACGGCCAGGACAAGTTCATCGCGGCGGAGGGAGGCTTCTCGTGCGCGCTCGACCTGGTGAGACGGGAGTGTACGAATTGGTAGAAGCTGAAAAGCGAGTGTTTTTTTAGAATTCTCAAAAAACGCTCGACCCCTCGCGCGGCCAAGAGAAGTTTGTCGCCGCCGAAGGATGCTTCTCTTGCGCGCTGGACCTGGTAAGACTGGAGTGTACGCACTGGGAGGGAGTCAAAGAAAGAACCCCCGCATGGCCGGAACAAGTTCGTCGCCGCCGAGCTGGCTTCTCATGCGCGCTCGACCTGGTAAGCGCGAGATTTACTATGTCGTGCGATGCCAGGTCTACGTGGACTAAAAAATGGTTGGTATAGCCTGGGCCGGAATCCTCAATTTGGTGCCCTCTGTTTGTTTCACCGTCTGTGCGACCGCTGTGGTCCCGTCTGTGCTACCGTTTTTGCTACCCTCTCTGTTGTGCTATCGTCTGTTCTAGGATAGGCTGCGAGACATGGCACGCCTTATCCTTCGCAAAGCGCTCACCGTCATTCTTTTTCTGTTGTCGTTCTCTGACCGTTTCCCGCGCCCTGCCTCTCCTTCCGCGTTTGCACACTGCAGGTGAAGCACATTCGCGCCAAGTACGGCGATTATTTCGGGATCACGGTCGCAGGATATCCAGGTGAGATAGATGGTCGTAGAAGTTATTGACGAGACGTAACGCCAGTACTCGCACCAATCGTCTGAAAATGCTCAGAATCGCATCGGATAAACGATACGAATCGCACTCACCTGACAGTACATATCCCAACTCAGAGAAACCCCTTAATGCGGCCATGATGTGCATCCCCAGGCCATAAGGCTTCTGAGTCGACTCAAATGTCGATCCCGTTCTGCAAAAGCATGAAACGCATCACAAGATTCCACACCTCCTTATCTCCTTGCTCCCGTGTGATGCGGCCATGGTGTATGTGTGTGCATGTGAGCAGAGGCCCATCCGGACGCCATCAGCGGCCCTGACGGTGCGACGCCAGAGGAGTACCAGAAGGACCTCGAGTACCTCAAGGCCAAGGTGTGGTGGGGGGGAATGCATGATGGATGGGTGATAGGTGACGTGCACTCCTACGTTCTGGCTGGGTTGTTAAAAAAAAAAGTACCAGAAGGACCTGGGGTACCTCAAGGCCAAGGTGAGGTGAGGTGAGGGGGAATGCATGATGGGTGCATGATGGGTGCATGATGGATGCATGATGGATGGGTGATAGATAGATGGTACCAGAGGAGTACCAGAAGGACCTCGAGTACCCCAAGGCCAAGGTGGGGCGGAATGCATGTCATGATGGATGGATAGGGCTTCAAGCCCAGGGTGGGGAACATGCATGATGAGTGCACTCCCACGTTCTTGCCGAGTTGATTTAAACAAGTACCAGCAGGGTACCAGAACGACCTAGGCACCTCAAGGTCCAAGGGTGGATGGGTGCACCATGCGGTTCTAGGCAGGTTAAATGTGCTTTCCAGGTTCGAGGTAGCCCAATTGTTCCTCTCCAGGTTCTACACATGTCCTCTGCCATCTCTGCCCCGTCCCCCTTCTCCCTCTCTCCCGTTTCCTGCCATCTCTGCCCCCTGCCCCCTCTCTCCCGTCTCATCTGCCACCTCTGCCTCCTTCCCGCGCACATTCCGTTTCTCTTACTCCACCCTCCTTTCGTCATATCCACTCCCAACGTGCAGATGGACGCGGGCGCGGACCTGATAGTGACGCAGCTGTTCTATTATGTGGACATCTTCCCCAAGTTCGTGGCGGACTGCCCCCTTTGCCCCCTTCCCCTCAAACTCTTCACCCGCCCTCCCGCTAACTCCAAAACCCTGTTGCAGATGGATGCGGGCGCGGACCTCATTGTCACGCAGCTGTTCTACGACGTGGACATCTTCCTCAAGTTCGCCGCGTACTGCCGGGTTATGGGCGTGCGCACTCTTGCTAAGTTCGGCCTCCCTACATTTCCCCCAATCCCTCAGATGGACGCGGGCGCGGACCTCATAGTCACCCAGCTGTTCTACGATGTGGATATTTTCCTCAAGTTTGTGGCGGACTGCCCTCTCCCTGTGCCCTCTCGCCCTCAAACCCCTCCCTGTCCCCATTGCCACCTTCCCCTTGAACCCCAAATCCTATTGCAGATGGACGCGGGCGCGGATCTGATAGTGACGCAGCTGTTCTACGATGTGGACATCTTCCTCAAGTTCGTGGCGGACTGCCGGGCCATGGGAGTGAGCGAGCCCATCATCCCGGGCATCATGCCCATCACCACGTACGGCGGCTTCAAGCGCATGACCGCCTTCTGCAAGACCAAGGCGAGTTCGCGAGTGCTGTGTGTATGTTGTGGGTGGGGGGTGAGGGGTGGGGGGAGGGGGAGGGGAGGAGGGTGGAAAGGAGAGTCTGTGGACGTCTGGGTGTGTGAGGAAAAGAGAGCAAGTGTTTGTTTTTGGAGACAAACATAAGGAGATTCTGTGGACGTGTGGGTGTGTGAGGAAAAGAGAGGAAGTGTTTGTTTTTGGAGACAAACATAAGGAGATTCTGTGGACGTGTGGGTGTGTGAGGAAAAGAGAGCAAGTGTTTGTTTTTGGAGACAAATATAAGGAGATTCTGTGGACGTGTGGGTGTGTGAGGAAAAGAGAGCAAGTGTTTGTTTTTGGAGACAAACATAAGGAGATTCTGTGGACGTGTGGGTGTGTGTGGAAAAGAGAGCAAGTGTTTGTTTTTGGAGACAAACATAAGGAGATTCTGTGGACGTGTGGGTGTGTGAGGAAAAGAGAGCAAGTGTTTGTTTTTGGAGACAAACATAAGGAGATTCTGTGGACGTGTGGGTGTGTGTGGAAAAGAGAGCAAGTGTTTGTTTTTGGAGACAAACATAAGGAGATTCTGTGGACGTGTGGGTGTGTGAGGAAAAGAGAGCAAGTGTTTGTTTTTGGAGACAAACATAAGGAGATTCTGTGGACGTGTGGGTGTGTGTGGAAAAGAGAGCAAGTGTTTGTTTTTGGAGACAAACATAAGGAGATTCTGTGGACGTGTGGGTGTGTGTGGAAAAGAGAGCAAGTGTTTGTTTTTGGAGACAAACATAAGGAGATTCTGTGGACGTGTGGGTGTGTGAGGAAAAGAGAGCAAGTGTTTGTTTTTGGAGACAAACATAAGGAGATTCTGTGGACGTGTGGGTGTGTGTGGAAAAGAGAGCAAGTGTTTGTTTTTGGAGACAAACATAAGGAGATTCTGTGGACGTGTGGGTGTGTGTGGAAAAGAGAGCAAGTGTTTGTTTTTGGAGGCAAACATAAGGAGATTCTGTGGACGTGTGGGTGTGTGAGGAAAAGAGAGCAAGTGTTTGTTTGTATAACACCCGCAAGCAACCCTGGGGAGCTGGGGAGAGACAGTGTTTGGGCGTATGATACCCTGAACCCTGGAGAGGAACGAGGGCGAAACAGGTAGGAATGATAAGGCATTGACGCTTCTCCCCGTCTCATCTCTTTCTCCAACCCTCTTTTCCTCCCGCCGTTGCAGGTCCCCCAGAGTATTCTGGATGCGTTGGAGCCGATAAAGGATAACGAGGAGGCTGTTAGGGCGTGTTACTGACGCAGCTTTGTTGCTCGCCTCGTTGTTCGACTATTTTTCGCTTCAACCATTACAGGTCCCCCAGAGTATTCTGGATGCGTTGGAGCCGATAAAGGATAACGAGGAGGCTGTTAGCGCGTGTCACTGACGCAGCTTTGTTGCTCGCCTCGTTGTTCGACTATTTTTCGCTTCAACCATTACAGGTCCCCCAGAGCATTCTGGACGCGTTGGAGCCGATAAAGGATAACGAGGAGGCTGTTAGGGCGTACGGCATCCAACAAGGCACGGAGATGTGCCGGCGCATCCTGGATGCGGGCATCCACACCCTCCACATGTACACGCTCAACCAGGACAAAACCACCATCGCCATCCTCAAAGTGAGCTGCTGTTGTGGGTAGCTTGGGTGGGGGAGCGGCAAATTATATGCCTGAATCATCACATCACATCTCACTCCACCCTCCACGTGTACGCGCTCAAAGACAAGACCGCCAATGCCACCCTCAAGGTGAGGTGCTGTTGCGGGTAGCTTGGGTGGGGGAGCGGCATATTATATCCTCAAGGTGAGGAGCTGTTGCGGGTAGCTTGGGTGCGGGAGCGGCACATTATATCCTCAAGGTGAGGTGCTGTTGCACGGCGTAGATACTAATCAAACTCCATCGTATTCCCTGATTCACCTCACTGTATCTCCTCCCTCCTCGCCTCCCTCTTCCCGTCAGAACCTGGGGCTCATAGAGGCGTCCAACATCCCTCGCTCGCTGCCCTGGCGGCCAGCCAATCCCAGTCAATCTTAGACACTCTTGTCTTCTGATTCAACTCACTGTACCTCGTCCCGTCGTCCCCGCTCCTCTCCTCCCTCTCCCCCCTCAGAACCTGGGGCTGATAGAGGCGTCCAACATCCCTCGCTCCCTGCCCTGGCGGCCAGCCACCAACATCGTCCGATGCACCGAGGACGTGCGCCCCATCTACTGGTGAGCGCCGCTGGCACAGTCAGTTCTCATGTGCTGATGAGAGGAGTGTGTACTGAGGATGAGACTTCACGTGTGTATGAGGTGGCGACACACGGCAATACACAGAGAACGTCCCCCACGTGCCCCCTGTGTATTGGTGAGGACGTGCGCCCATCCCATCTACTGGTGAGAGAGAGCTGCTGGCATGACGAGGGTCCATCTGCTGTTGAGAAGAGTGCGTACAGAAACTGCTTTCAGCAGGGCGATGCACAGACTCACAGAGGACGGACGAGCGCCCCGTCCACTGCTGTGGGGTGCTGGCGCAGTCAGGAGGCATGTGGTGGTGAGAGATCTCTTGGCATGGTCAGGAGGCTTATACTGGAGAGAGAGAGGGCACTGAGCATTTTGAGTCGACTCAGAAGTCACTTCCAACACAAAAGGTCTCTGTGCCGAGTGCAGCCTTCTGCATTTGGCATCATGAACCAAACGCGACACGCATGTACTGCTATACCCACCTTCGCCCATCCAAAACTCATCCCAACCGTGTTCCACCCCTTGCAGGTCCCTGCGCCCCAAGAGCTACCTGGCATGCACAGCAGCGTGGACCATGTCCCCTTCTGGCCGCCTGGGGCCTGCAGAGGCACTGTACCCATCCGAACCCGCCCATACTCATCTTTACCCACCCCGTACCCATCCAAACCCTACTCCACCCCCACAGGTCCCTGCGCCCCAAGAGCTACCTGGCGCGCACAGCAGCGTGGACCAAGTTCCCCTCTGGCCGCCTGGGGCCTGCAGAGGCGCTGTCGTACAGCGACCTGCCCGCCAAGCACAGGGCGTTCCTCAAGAGGAAGTCACGGGCTACTGCGCTCGCCAGGGACTGGGCTGTGCCGGTTGCGTCCACTGAAGATGTCAAGCAGGTGAGAGGGGTGGGACGGAGGGTTTCTTAGTGCTACCCTTGCAGTGGCAGCACGGCAGCAGAGGCGCTCTCCTACAGCGACCTGCTCGTTAAGCACAGGGCGTTTCTCAAGAGGAGGCACGGGCCACTGCACTCGCCAGGGACTGGGCTGTACCTGTTGCCTCGACAGAGGACGTGAAGCAGGTGAGAGGGAATGGTGTTTCATTGATTTTTAAGCAGGTGAGATGGAATGGGTTTTCATTGTTTTTGAAGCAGGTGAGAGCAAAAAGGTTTCCTGCATTCCGCTTCTGGATTATTCTGTTGTTTTATTCGCCCACATTGCCCCTCCCTCCCTGCAGCTACTCGCTCGGTTTGTGAGTGGCGAGGTGAGCAGCTTCCCCTGGAGCGAGGCGGTGGAGTCATCCGTCTCTGCAGACTCGACCCCCACACCCACTCCCTGCTGTCGCTTATCCTCTCCTTCCCCCTCCCCCTCTCCTTCTCCCTCTCCCTCTCCCTCTCCCTATCCCTCTGCCTCTCCCTCTCCCTCCCATCTCTCTCCCCTCTGCAGCTCTTTGCTCGGTTTGTGAGTGGCGAGGTGAGCAGCTTCCCCTGGAGCGAGGCGGTGGAGGCGGCTCTCTCTGCGGACTCGGCCCCCATCAGTGCTCAGCTGCAGGAGCTGAACGCGGCTGGGCTGCTCACCATCAACAGCCAGTTCGCTGTGAATGGAGCCAAGTCCGACGACCCTGTGCTGGGTGAGTGTGCTGCGACTGTAGCAGAAAGTTTCTTGTAGAGTAAGACGCCTAAGAAACGAGGCATCTCTCTCTGCGGACTCAGCCCTCATTAGCCCGCAGCTGCAGGAGCTGAATGCGGCTGGACTGCTCACCATCAACAGCCAGCCGGCTGTCAACGGCGACAAGTCCGACGACCCTGTTCTCGGTGAGTGGGTGAAATCAGCTTGTCTGGCTATGTCCTTGCCACCGGCCCATGTGTTTGTGTGTTAGTCGACTCAGTATTCCGTCTTCTGTCCTCATGTGCAGCCCATTGCCCCCTTTTTTCCCCTCTCCCCGCCTCCCGCCCCTGTTGAGTCCCCCTCCGCTCCCGCTTCCCCGTTGGCGTGCAGTGTAGGCTGGAGAGGCTGTGGGGGGGATACCAGAAGGTATACGTGGAGTGCTTTGCCCCGCACTCTCCTCCTTTCGCATTGTCTCTCTTCCCCTCCATGGTTGTGTGTCATATCAATGTTCCCCCTGATTACCCTCCAGGCTGGGGAGGCCCCGGGGGGTACATCTACCAGAAGGCGTATGTGGAGTGCTTTGCCCCACACGACAAGGTCACCACGCTCCTCGAGAAGGCCAAGGCCACGCCCTCCATCTCCCTCATGGCCGTCAACTCGCAAGGCCACGTGCTCGCCACCGGCCCCGGCACGCCTGCGTCCACCACGCCGTTCTCTGCGAATGCGGTCACGTGGGGGGTGTTCCCGGGGAGGGAGGTGGTGCAGCCGACGGTGGCGGATTTCATGTCGTTCCTGGCGTGGAAGGAAGAGGCGTTTGGCGCGTGGGTGGAGGATTGGGCGGGGCTTTACAAGGAGGAGGACGAGGAGGGCACACCGGTTGCAAAGAAGCTGCTGCAAGAGGTGAGGGGGGGACAGGTGAATTGGGTGGGAGCGGAATGGCTTTAACAGGTGAGGGACGGTTGATTGAGGTGAGAAGGGGTGTGGGTGTTCAGAGTGGTGCAAAGGGGATGATGGGTAGACAGTGGGGGTGTGGTCTAGTGTGGGGCTTTGAAGGACGGGGATGAGGGCACGCCGGAGGCTAAGACACCACTGCAGGAGGTGAGAGTCGGTTGAAGGAGGTGAGAGTGGGTGAGGATATTTTAAGGAGGAGGACGAGGTCGCGAAGACGGTGCGGAAGCTCCTGCTGGAGGTGAGGGGGCGGGATGAGTGCAGGAGGTGAGGTGGGATGCACGTGTAATAAGAGTACTTCTGAGACGTCTCAAAAGTACTCTTTTTACACGAGGTCGCGAAGATGGTGCGGAAGCTCCTGCTGGAGGTGAGGGCAGGATGGGTGCAGGAGGTGAGGTGGGACGCAGGGAGCGAGGAGGGATGAAGTTCTGTGTAGGAATGGGAGAGGTACGGCCCACAGAGGGTGTCAGATGGCTCAAGGTGGTGAGGAGGGGTTGTTTGTTAGAGGCATGGTGAGGCGAGAGGAGGTGAGATGAGGGGATAGGGGTGTCGATTGGGTTATTTGTTGCAGTGTTGTAATGACACACTTATTGTATTTCTGGGTTAATCCTCCTCTCCCAGAAATTCGTTTTTGTCCGTGCAAATCCATGACACCTACCGTATTACCTTGTGAGCGTTGTTGACAACGGCAATGTCAGCTGTTGATGCGCCTAAAAATACTAATCCTGCCCCACATTTATTTGTTTTGCATGCGCAGATCCATGACACATATTACCTTGTGAGCGTCGTTGACAACGACTATGTCAACGGTGACATCTTCGCGCTTTTTGCTGGAATTTGAGTGAAGGTGGTTTTGAATTGGAAGAGTGGTTCTTATATTTTGCCACATTCTGTGGTTTATAGACTAGACTAGATAGCGAAGGTATCTAAATGGTGATGTTGGAATAATCAGGCTCAAAGTTATTAATAATGTTCTCAAAGTTCACAATTTCATATTTTGTGCGTTGCTGTGCGGTTAGGTGCGATTGGCTCCCATACCCACCTGGTGCAGTCAATCTTCCCTTACGGAGCGCGTCGCGGCAAATTCTAGGCTAAATTAGATGCACCGCAGAAGATATTTTCTTTTCTATGAATGGCCTTTTGTCCCTATTGTTGATGTTGGAACTGGTTCGCTATTCGGCTAGCGTAGACCGGAAATAGTTCTCCCTTGTTCCTGCCTTTGCTGCTGCGTATTCCGAGTGGTTCCTGTGGTTTGCTGTTTTACGTGTCTAGCATGAGACGGTAACTAGCCGTTTGCCTCTCTGCCTGTCACGAGCTACCACGTGGACGGTCGCGAATAATGGCGTCGCGGCTAGCCCAAACGGCTCGTTCTCACGTTTCTCCCGCTCTTCGGCTCTTCACAAGGAAATTCTCCCTCCACTCGCTTGGCCAATTAGAACCAGCTCTGGGACCTTATGCAGGAGTCTCTTGTACAGGAGCACCTTATAACGGAGATTCTTGTACAGGAGTGGATGTGGACGTTTTTTCAGAGTCCCCTCTCCACGAATATCGAGGTGGTGAGAGCCGCTCGGCGCGCTTTGAAGGATTAAGCAGGAGCGGCATCACCTGCAATGGGAGCGCTAGTAACAGCGGCATCTCCGGGGGCATTTGCGGCGGAATTTCCGGCCGGATTTTCGGAGGTCATGCGACGGGCGAGAGGCGGATAAACACGCGCGCGCACGCGCCGCCGCCGGTTTCCACGGGCGAGCAGTGGACGACGGCGCACGCGTTCACGGCTGCTGAGGTGGCAGCGTTCGCGCACATGACAGGCGACCTTAACCCCATCCACCTCGACGCGCGCGCGGCGGAGGCGGCGGGATTCGCGGAGTGCGTAGTGCAAGGGATCCTGGCAGCGAGCTTGTTCCCTGCTCTGATCGCGAAACACCATGTACGCTGGTTGCTCGTATCTCTCTCTGAGACGTCTCAGTGTCTGGTGCCACTCTGATGCTCTGATCGCCTGTTGTCACAAAGTTTAGAGGCGGTGGGTGCGTGGTGCACGGGATCCCGTGTACGGGTGGGCAGCGCGCCTGTTTCCCGCTCTGATCGCGAAACACCATGTACGCTGGTTGGTTGTGCCATCATGTTTATCACTAACTCATCACGCTCTCCTATCGCGCTCATTGTTCATTTCGTATCAAATGCCCGAGGCATAATCAGGTATCAGGCTGGGAGATTAGGAAAGACATGCCTTGCGACCCCACCCACTCCACCAACCAGCACCCCACCTCCCCGCCCGTCCCTTCTTTGCGGACTTCCCCTCACACCTGGCGGCCTAGGTGGCATCTACGTGTCTCAGACGCTGCGCTTCCTGGCGCTTCATAGCTTCATAGCTTCCTGGCGCTTCATAGCGACGGCATCCCATAGCTATGCAACCCTAACCAACCCCCTCCGCCCACCCGTTTCCCCTTCCGTCCCTCTCTGCCCGGTGCCATCTACGTGTCTCAGACGCTGCGCTTCCCACCCGCCTCCAACACCCCGCCCGTCCTTCCCCCACCCCACCCTCCCCCACTACACGTGCCAGCCAGGTGCCATCTACGTGTCGCAGACGCTGCGCTTCCTAGCGCTAGTGCACGTGGGCGAACAGGCGAGATTTGAGGCGCCTCAAAAGGCGCCCTCAAAAGTCTTCCTAGCGCTAGTGCACGTGGGCGAACAGGCGAAATAGCAGCTCACAGCATACCATGCACCCCCACCACCTCTCCAACACCCCACCCCGCCCTCTCACACACGTGCCAGCCAGGTGCCATCTACGTGTCGCAGACGCTGCGCTTCCTGGCGCCCGTGCACGTGGGCGAGCAGGTGACAGCGACAGTGGAGGCGATATCAGTGGTGGCGCATCGACACAGATTCAGGTGGGTGTGTGTGGCTGTGTGTGTGTGTGGTTGTGAGTGAGGGTTTGTTTTGTTTGTGTGTGCGCTACCATGCACGTGGGCGAGCAGGTGACGGCGACAGTGGAGGCGATTTCAGTGGTGGCGCATCGACACAGATTCAGGTGCGTGTGTGCCTGTGGCTGCGAGCGAGGGTCTGCGTGTGTGACTGTGGCTGTGAGGGTCTGCGTGTGTGACTGTGGCTGTGAGGGTCTGCGTGTGTGCACCCCCGTGCACGTGGGCGAGCAGGTGACCGCCACAGTAGAGGCCATATCAGTGGTTTCACACCGGCACAGATTCAAGTGGGTGGTGTGTGTGTGTGTGTGTGAAAGGGAGGGATGGTTGCATCTGTGCTGCCCCGTGCATGTGGGCGAGCAGGTGACGGCGACAGTGAAAGAATTGGTGGCACACCGACACAGATTCAGGTAACTGGGGGACTGCATGCGTGCGTGCGTGCGGGGGAGTGGGGGGTTGTGTATGTGTGTGGGGGGTTGTGAATCTGTTCAGTCCCGTGCATGTGGGCGAGCAGGTGACGGCCACAGTGGAGGTGATTTCAGTGGTGGCACACCGGCACAGATTCAGGTGGGTGTGTGTGTGACTGTGGCTGTGAGCGTCTATGTGTGTGACTGTGGCAGTAGATGCCATATCAGTGGTGGCACACCGGCACAGATTCAGGTGGGTGGGGGTGTGTGTGTGTGAAAGGGAGGGAGGGTTGCATCTGTGCCGCCCCGTGCATGTGAGCGAGCAGGTGACAGCCACAGTGGAAGCGATTTCAGTGGTGGCGCACCGACACAGATTCAGGTGCGTGCGTGAGAGAGGGTGCGCGTGTGTGTGGCGGTGAATGAGGGTCTGTGTGTGCGTGTGCACGTGGGCGAGCAGATGACAGTGAGGCCCATCTCTGCAGTGGCAGTGAGTGAGAGAGGGTGAGTGTGTGGCTGAGTGAGGGTCTGTGTGCGCAGCTGTGCACGTGGGCGAGCAGGTGACAGCGAGTGTAGAATAGAACCCCATCTCTGTAGTGGCATACTGGCACCAATTCAGGTGCGTGTGCGTGAGAGAGGGTGAGCGTGAGCGTGTGTGTGGCTGTGACTGAGGTGCGTGTGCGTGGCTGTGCACATGGCCAGGGGGGTGATGGCCGCAGTGAAGGCCATCTCAGAGGTGGCATACTGTCACCGGTTCAGGTATGTGTATGCGGGTCTTGTATTGAGTCGACTCAAAATGAGTCATGTTTTGAGTCGACTCATAACACAGTGAAGCCCATCCCAGTGGTGCCATACTGTCAGGAGTCGTACAGTGAAGCCCATCTCAGTGGTGCCATACCAACACCGGTTCAGGTATGTGTGTGCCGGTCCTCGCACACCCCTTCCTTTATTCCCTTCCCGATGCCTTTCCCCATCTCCCGTCCCCGTCCTCCACACCTCCTCAAGGGCCACCTTTGCATTCTGGGCGTTCGAAGCATCTTCCCATGTCATTCCTCGTATGATAAGTCGATTTTTTAGTCGACTCAAAAATCACCCCATCCTCCACACCTCCTCAAGGGCCACGTTTGCATTCTAGGCGCTCGAAGCATCTTCCCATGTCTTTCCTCGTACCTTCCCCTTTCCCCATCCCCGTCCCACACCTCCTCAGAGTCACATTCGCATCCAAGGCATTCAAAGCATCTTCGCTCACACCTTCCTTTATGTCTTACCCGCATGCCGTCCCCCATAACCTCCCCCGTCCCGCACCTCCCCAGAGTCACATTCGCATCCAAGGCATTCAAAGCATCTTCGCTCACACCTTCCTTTATGTCTTACCCGCATGCCGTCCCCCATCCCCTTCCCCTTACCCCATCCCCATCCTCATCCTCAGAGTCACATTCGCATCCAAGGCATTCAAAACGCCGCGTGTCACCCCAGCAGCAGCTGCAGCGGATGCAGCAGCATCGGGGGAAGTGGCCTCCCCCCGGCCTGTGCTGGCACTGGATGGCATTGCTGTCGCCATCAAAGCATCTTCCCCATGCCTTCCCCCATGCGTTCCCCCTCACCTCCTCCTCAGGGTCACGTTTGCCTCCAAGGCGTTTAAACAGCCTCGAGTAACGCCAGACGCAGCAGCATCAGGGGAAGTGGCCTCCCCCCGGCCTGTGCTGGCACTGGATGGCATTGCTGTCGCCATCATTCCTCAGCGCAACAAAGACCCACCCAAACCCATGGAGTGTAGAGACGACGTGTTGCGTACTGGTCTGCAATCACTGTAGCGTGGCATCAGGAACAGTGGTGGGCAGTGGTGGGCAGTGGTGGGTCAGTGGTGGGTCAGTGGTGGGCAGTGGTGGGTCAGGGGCCGCACCTTCCGCCCTGTGCTGGCACTGGATGGCATTGCTGTCGTCATCATCCCTCCTCTCAACAGAGACCCTCCCAACCCCATGGAGTAAAGAAGTATTGACACGTGTACAATGGTTAGCAATCTGATATCAGCAAAGGAAATGGCATCCCTCCCCCGCCCTGTGCTGGCTCTGTCCGTGTAGCCTGTGGCCTGCGGCCTGTCCCCGTGCTATAACTTCCTTCATCTGTGCTATAGCCCCAGTATTTCCGCCCCAGCCAACCTTGAGCCTTCCCTTCCCTGTCATTCTTTCTGTGCTACACACTAGAAGTGATGGTGGATAGATGAGTACCACGCCTTAGGGCTGGCAGGATCCAGTGAGATGCTTAGCTGTTATGTTGCCAGATGTCAGTTGCTGCATACCAGGCCAGTGGAAGTAAAGTGTTGTTTTCATTTCATATGTATAGCATTGTGCAAATAATAAACAGATCAGCCCACCTATCTATTAACCTAGTATCAGAAGCGACCCACTGTATAATACAAGTGTAAAAGCTGTCACTGAGTGAACCCTTAGGGGAACTGCTGCACGGGCATAACCTTCCTGGCGCGGCCGTACGCGGTATAAGCGCAGTCTACAGCAAGTACATCACTCGCCTCATACGACCTAGGTGTACCATCCAAGAACCCCTTCCCCTCCGCGCCGTCAGCCGAAATCGGACGGTGCAGGCTCGCGATCAAGCGCTGGAAATCCTCAGCGCGCTGCGAGTGATCCGCGCGGTACGTCTGCCCCAACACACCATGAATATCCTCTGTGTGCTCCAGCTCGGCAATCCCGACGTTGATGTGCGCCTCGGCGTCGGTAGGGGTCTGCAGCTTCGGGTGCGCGACGCGCAGGCGCAGATCCAGCGAAATCAGACCGTCGATCGTCAGCATATAGTAGTCCACATCGAACGGTCCTTCTTTCTCCAGCCCGCGGAATTGAATTGTCAGGCCACCGTCGCTCGTCACCGTGTCGCCAACCTTCATCCGCGGGATCTCCTCGCCGTCAACCTCGATGCTCCTCATAAACCCGTCGCCGCGCTCCTGTTGCTTACCGCTGCGCGCCGCGAGCTTCACCTTGTGATCCGCGCCCCGGGCGGTCCAGACAATCCCGAGCTCCTTAATCCACGTGTGCACCGCCTTGCCATCAACAACGAGCGCGGCATTATCGGTGCGCTCATCGTAATAACCCCTCAGCAGCATGTTCACATGAAGATCGCGGTCCGTCAGCAGGCAGAACGCCTTGTCGGGCCGGCCGTTGAAGTCGAAATGCGTGCCGTGCGCGCCGACCAGATGCGGGTCGTTGAGAATCTTCGCGCTAGGGTTACACTCTCCACCGATCCGCACCTGCAGATTCACCGGCTTCGTTTCCGTTGAATACTGCGCGGTCATCTCTCCGCAGGTAAAGTCAATCTGGTCGTGGATCAAATAGCACGCGCCCTTGCCCTTCTTCCCGTCGATGGTTATATCGGGGATGTACTGCCAGTACGTGCACAGCGGGGTCGCGGCGCAGGTGTTGCAGCACGACGCGGGATTAGCCTTGAGAACCGTCAGTGGGTTACCCGGCACGTACAGCTCGTAACCCAGCTTGTTCTTTTGCAGATAAGCGGTTTTCCACTTAGCGGGGATGCCTCCCTTGGAGCAATTTTTAGGCGTGCAGGCTCCTGCTAGCTCCTTGTTCAATCCAGGCGGGCATTTCTGCGCGTTCCACCCCGCCTTCTTCACATCAGCCATGAAGAACGAGTCCTGCGCCGTATCCACGTAGGTGAGTCCCGCCGCATTGCCCGTCGCGGCCTGCTTTGCGATATCCGCGGGGAGTTCGGTCATGAGCCCGTCGTCCTTCTTGCTGCTCTGGTCGGGTTTCTCATTCGCGCTGGCGCTCGTGATGGGGCTGCCGGCGCGGGCGACTGCGAGCAGCAGCGCCAGGGACAGCGCGAGAAGCGCGGCTCTAGCCATTCTGGAAAGCTGTGACAGACGTGAATCGAAACGAACCAGTGCGCTGTCGTTTGAAATTACTACAATACGAATTTAGGAGTAACGTACAGTCGAGTTGAGAGAGAGTTCTACTGCTTGCTGAGGAGATCAGTTTCCGTGCTTGTTGGTTGGATGGAAATGGCGAACATTTTATTCGAGGGAAATGAGAGAGGGAGATGAGAGACACCGAGTCGCGGTTGTGTTTGTTTCTCTGCGGCGCGCTGGAGTTGGGCTGGTTTTGACCTGCCCTTGTTCAGCCGCAATGGTCTCAAGTTGCTTCTTCATGGCTGGATAGATTCCCAGGTGTATCTGGACCTACTTGCAAGCCACGAGGCGCATGCTGATCAGGTTTATGCTGCATGTGCATCTGCTTCGACACCTGAACAAATGGGCTGAGGTGTCCAGGCTGGAAGCGAGAGGTCCATATACTTGTGTTGAACAAAAAAATGTAGTGTAGGAAAATACCAAATCATGAAATAATAAAATATGCTCCTCAAACCTAAGAAGATTCTATGTCTAGATTTTGTTGTGTAATGCTACCTCCACATACTATTATACCCCACTATCTTACGTGTAGAAGAATCAGGTGGTGTTTTCTGCCACAGTGAGCAAATAGCAGCAGAGTTAATTGCAGTGATTGATCTACACTCTGCCTTGCAGCCTGTGATCCAGCAACACAGCAGCATGTGACTGGCAGGCTCACATCACAGTCAGTCAGCGCAGCATTCCAGAGCAGCTCGTCACAGCTTGGGGTCGGCAGCTCTAGCCAAGCTTTGACTCCATGCCCTCTGTGGGCTTCGAACTCCGCAGCTGGGTAAAAAATCGCATTCTTGCTCCGCAGCAGCGTCTCATAGCAGCGCGTCAGAGCATGATGCCATGCCCATAGCCCGGCGCAGGTTCACAATGTGAACGGCTGAGGGAGAGAGGGTGAGGGGAGGGTGGGAGGAGGGGGAGAAGGATGGAGAGGAGGAGGAGGAGGAGGAGGAGGAGGAGGAGGAGGAGGAGGAGGAGGAGGAGGAGGAGGAGGAGGAGGAGGAGGAGGAGGAGGAGGAGGAGGGAGAGGGAGTGGGAGAAAATGTTGGAGAGGAGAGGGCAGGGGAGAGAAGCAGAGTGCGAGCACTGGCAGCAAGGAGGAGCTCTGCTGATGTTGCCACGTCAGCTGACACTGATGCTGATGCTGCTGCTACTTCTGCTTCTGCCTCTGCCTCTGCCTCTGTTTCTGCCTCTGTTGCAGGATTGATCAACTCGCCCCCTTCCCTTACAGCTGCTGTCTTGCCATCATCACCATCATCACTCCTGCCAACCTTGTTGCTGCTCCCGCTGCTGCCATCATCGAAATCACCACCACCAGCACCGTTGGGTTCCTTATTGAAGGACTCGATAACAGACTGTAGGCGCATTACTGTAATGCCGCGTGCAGACAGCAGGGCACTCAGGGCTCCATCCACAGCACGATTTTCTTCCCCGCCTCTGCTAAGAAACAGCACCCGGATGCCTTGGGACTCTAACGAGTCCCCCACTAACGCGGCAACTGCGGCAAGGGGCAAATATTGCTCCGACTGCTCGGTTCCGTTTCTCTGCCCGTCCTTCTGCACGACTTCTGACCCGCCAAACTGCTTCCTCCACGCGTCCACCACCGATTCAAAATCATATCCTGTCCCATCCACCCCCATATTGACGCCACTCGTTACTTGCATCTCGTCCCTCTTTGCTGCCGGTGCTTCCGAACCTTCCACGCTGCTTCGACCCCTTTCTCTCCAGCAGTCTCTCCGTTCCAGGCGCAACGCGGCATAGTCACCTCCGATATACTCCCGCCGGTACCAATCCGCTAGCGCCACGACTTTGCGAGACGGCTGCAACGGAAACACGCAACCACTTGTCGTAGACCCGATATTCTCAAGGTTCGATAGAAGCAACTGGTGAAATACGCGATAAGGGACGTCTGCTCCGATAAGAAGGTCCGACGCGCTTAAGTTGCTGAGATCCCCGAGAGAGAGCACCGACGCGCGGTAAGATCGAGGCGCGTCGGTGAGTATCGCGCGAGGGAAGTCGGAGATACGTGAAGCGAAGTGCGACATGCGATCCGTGCGGCGAGGGAGGGCTACCCGGGTCACTTCGGTTTCGTACAATTTGTTTTCGCGAAGTTCGCGGTGAGAGGACGCGCAGTGGGAGGGGAGAGAGCAGCTGCCAGGGGAATGGCCGCACACGAGACTATCCACGTGGACGGTGCTCATTCGTCGAAGCCGCAAGAAGCGAGACAATGTCATTACGCGAGGCATAATCGCCCCCTCGTCGTTCCTCCCGCTGTTGTCGCCGCTGTCTCCGCCGCTGTTTTCACTACTATCAGTGAGTGGCACGTTATTCAGCCGTCTTGCAAAATTTGCTCTTCCGTCGTCCAAGGCACTGCTAGTACCCGAACTCGAGCTCCGACCGCCGCTGCTGCTGCTACCACTGCTTCCACTGCCGCTGCTGCTATCGGAAAAGCATTCTTCGAGCTTATTCAGGTCGAGCACCCGCGAGAAACTAACGGACGGCGGGCCATACTCACGGTGGCGTCGGTTTCTAGTCCGACTATCACTACCGCTACTAAAGCTGCTGGTAGTGTCTCCGTGATTCGCGGGGTGATGCGCATCGCCGCACAGGTCGTCCTCGGGAACGACGAGCGTGCGATTCAGCATCGCCGCTACAAGCACGTACCGCTGCAAGCACACCACGCGGTCCGCCACGTGGCCGTGTGTACACGTGGCCAGAAGGTACTCGTTCTCTGGAACCCACTTCATGGGTTGCCATACTGGGACCGCCACGTCAGGATGATCAGCATCAGCATAGTGCGCAAAATGCCTGCGACCTGCTATCGTTGAGTGTGAGCTATCGTTAGAGCAATTCGCGTTATCGTAGAAGAGAGATGCTACCACGCGCCGCTGTATTCGTCCCGCGTCTGGTATTAGTAGAAAGAGACGAGTTGGCGTTTATCGCGTCGACGCTTGTCGAGTCCGATTCGCGACGGGTGGTGTGGTGGACCAAGAAGAGCGATCCGAGAAGCAGCGCCACGCAGAACGCGTACACAGCGCGGTCCGCCCACTTGTGCAGCTGCGCAGGATGCGGCGGCGATTGCGGCATGCAGGTCGGCATCACCAGCGGCTCCCTGAGCCCGCTGAAGTCGCACGAGCGCCTCCAGAAACGGTCGCCGTGCGACGGGTGACGCATGCTGGAGAACTCAATGTACGTCGAAGTGCAAGTGGGTGGCAAAAAAGATGACGAATTACCAAAATGAAGCGAAAATAGGTGCGAAACTAAGGCGCCGAAGGGCTACTAAGATGGGGCGAGGCAGGACGAGCGAGACAAAGTTTAAGAGTATTCTAATCGGGAGAGCGCAGGTGCAAGGGCAAAGGGAGGAGAAAACACACGTGGGCGAGTCGAGCGAAATTGAGAGGCACAAGGCAAGTGAGGCAACAAAACCGAATGGACAGGCAGAACGCCCGAGTTTACAGAGGATGAGTATTTTGACAAACCGACATGGGGGATGAAGCTGGCTGGATGGGGTGGTGGTGGAACGAAATGTCGAGAAAATCGAATCGCCTTTCAAGGCCCCTCAACTTGAGTGCACCTGCAACGCTGCTCCCCTACCTCCCCTCGTATCAAATCGGCGGCCCCGAACGCACCGCTCGCCGCCGCGTCTCGAAATCGCCTGCCCCCTATCACGCCACTCACTAGGTTCGGTTGGGGAATGAAGCCATCAGCGCCTAGGTTTGTGGCAAATCGGCGCCACTTCCGCGCAAAACGACAGACGAAACGCCCCGAACCTGTATTCTCGGGGTTAGGCCAAACGTGAAATGCCGCTTCGGAAAGGGCCGTACCAGCTTCGAAACCAATTCCACTCTGAACGTCCACATCACGGAAATCGCTAGCGAAAAACCTTTTGCGATCTGAACGACGTGAGTTACCCTCAACGGTAGTTGACGAAGCGGTAACTCAGGGTGTACGAAATAAACGAGGAAATGAGGTTGGAGGTTCCGCTTTTGCTTCAATGCGCAATGACATCGAAACTTTAGTTACCACTAGGGAAACAAACACTGTTTGGCTTTTGGAGTTAGTGATTCAGGAAAATAGGCTACACTAGACGTTATTACCACACATACCTATCTACTTACGGTATGCTACCTTTTCATAACGCATGCTAATCATCCTCTGGAAGCACATCAGGCTTCTTTTCAGATTCAATCCCCACTTGGGGGGGAAAGTCCGAGTTTCTTGGAACGATCTTGAGGGGGTGTGCCTCGGTATTGAACACCCATTGGTTGAGCGGCAGCACATCATCGGACGAGAACAAGAGGTAAAGATACTTGAGCGTCTCAGCAAGAAAGAAGCTCTGCTGCAAGTCGTCCTTCTGTGGAGGGTTCTGAGAGGCCTGGAGCAAGGAGAGAACAACGATGGGGAGGGAAACACAATCAAACACTAGTGCCACAGTGGGTTTAAAAAAATCCACCGGACCGCGTTTCGGCAGTGTTTTCGGAAGGTTTGAACTGAAGCCAGCCCACTCTTACTCCCGCTACTTGTATACATGACCAGATCAGGGCACCCACTGTCAATTCGTTATACTCACATCCAGTAGCCCCAGATATCCGTTTTCCACGCGGCAGTGCTTCTGAATGGCCTGGAAGGCCTCCCACCCCCACTGCCTGTACATGGGGTCGTGCGTGGCCCGCCACAGGTACATCCATGCCTCCACTGCCTCGGGCCTCAATGTGTTGAACTTGCGCCCCTCCATGCGCATGCCCTGTGGTGTGTGGTTGGAACCGAGGCATGTGGGAGAGACACATGAATGAACATTCCAAATTAGAATGTATGAAAGATGAGAACAAGAGGGGCCCGCCACAGGTACATGCGCCCCTACATGTGCATGCGCCCCTACATGTGCATGCGCCCCTACATGTGCATGCGCCCCTACATGTGCACGCGCCCCTACATGTGCATGCGCCCCTACATGTGCACGCGCCCCTACATGTGCATGCGCCCCTACATGTGCATGCGCCCCTACATGTGCATGCGCCCCTACATGTGCATGCGCCCCTACATGTGCATGCGCCCCTACATGTGCATGCGCCCCTACATGTGCATGCGCCCCTACATGTGCATGCGCCCCTACATGTGCATGCGCCCCTACATGTGCATGCGCCCCTACATGTGCATGCGCCCCTACATGTGCATGCGCCCCTACATGTGCATGCGCCCCTACATGTGCATGCGCCCCTACATGTGCATGCGCCCCTACATGTGCATGCGCCCCTACATGTGCATGCGCCCCTACATGTGCATGCGCCCCTACATGTGCATGCGCCCCTACATGTGCATGCGCCCCTACATGTGCATGCGCCCCTACATGTGCATGCGCCCCTACATGTGCATGCGCCCCTACATGTGCATGCGCCCCTACATGTGCATGCGCCCCTACATGTGCATGCGCCCCTACATGTGCATGCGCCCCTACATGTGCATGCGCCCCTACATGTGCATGCGCCCCTACATGTGCATGCGCCCCTACATGTGCATGCGCCCCTACATGTGCATGCGCCCCTACATGTGCATGCGCCCCTACATGTGCATGCGCCCCTACATGTGCATGCGCCCCTACATGTGCATGCGCCCCTACATGTGCATGCGCCCCTACATGTGCATGCGCCCCTACATGTGCATGCGCCCCTACATGTGCATGCGCCCCTACATGTGCATGCGCCCCTACATGTGCATGCGCCCCTACATGTGCATGCGCCCCTACATGTGCATGCGCCCCTACATGTGCATGCGCCCCTACATGTGCATGCGCCCCTACATGTGCATGCGCCCCTACATGTGCATGCGCCCCTACATGTGCATGCGCCCCTACATGTGCATGCGCCCCTACATGTGCACGCGCCCCTACATGTGCACGCGCCCCTACATGTGCACGCGCCCCTACATGTGCACGCGCCCCTACATGTGCACGCGCCCCTACATGTGCACGCGCCCCTACATGTGCATGCGCCCCTACATGTGCACGCGCCCCTACATGTGCACGCGCCCCTACATGTGCACGCGCCCCTACATGTGCACGCGCCCCTACATGTGCATGCGCCCCTACATGTGCACGCGCCCCTACATGTGCATGCGCCCCTACATGTGCACGCGCCCCTACATGTGCATGCGCCCCTACATGTGCACGCGCCCCTACATGTGCATGCGCCCCTACATGTGCACGCGCCCCTACATGTGCACGCGCCCCTACATGTGCACGCGCCCCTACATGTGCACGCGCCCCTACATGTGCACGCGCCCCTACATGTGCACGCGCCCCTACATGTGCACGCGCCCCTACATGTGCACGCGCCCCTACATGTGCATGCGCCCCTACATGTGCACGCGCCCCTACATGTGCACGCGCCCCTACATGTGCACGCGCCCCTACATGTGCACGCGCCCCTACATGTGCACGCGCCCCTACATGTGCACGCGCCCCTACATGTGCATGCGCCCCTACATGTGCACGCGCCCCTACATGTGCATGCGCCCCTACATGTGCACGCGCCCCTACATGTGCACGCGCCCCTACATGTGCACGCGCCCCTACATGTGCATGCGCCCCTACATGTGCACGCGCCCCTACATGTGCATGCGCCCCTACATGTGCACGCGCCCCTACATGTGCATACGCCCCTACATGTGCACGCGCCCCTACATGTGCACGCGCCCCTACATGTGCATGCGCCCCTACATGTGCATGCGCCCCTACATGTGCATGCGCCCCTACATGTGCATGCGCCCCTACATGTGCATGCGCCCCTACATGTGCACGCGCCCCTACATGTGCATGCGCCCCTACATGTGCATGCGCCCCTACATGTGCATGCGCCCCTACATGTGCATGCGCCCCTACATGTGCATGCGCCCCTACATGTGCATGCGCCCCTACATGTGCATGCGCCCCTACATGTGCATGCGCCCCTACATGTGCATGCGCCCCTACATGTGCATGCGCCCCTACATGTGCATGCGCCCCTACATGTGCATGCGCCCCTACATGTGCACGCGCCCCTACATGTGCACGCGCCCCTACATGTGCACGCGCCCCTACATGTGCATGCGCCCCTACATGTGCATGCGCCCCTACATGTGCACGCGCCCCTACATGTGCACGCGCCCCTACATGTGCACGCGCCCCTACATGTGCACGCGCCCCTACATGTGCACGCGCCCCTACATGTGCATGCGCCCCTACATGTGCACGCGCCCCTACATGTGCACGCGCCCCTACATGTGCACGCGCCCCTACATGTGCACGCGCCCCTACATGTGCACGCGCCCCTACATGTGCACGCGCCCCTACATGTGCATGCGCCCCTACATGTGCACGCGCCCCTACATGTGCACGCGCCCCTACATGTGCACGCGCCCCTACATGTGCACGCGCCCCTACATGTGCATGCGCCCCTACATGTGCATGCGCCCCTACATGTGCACGCGCCCCTACATGTGCATGCGCCCCTACATGTGCACGCGCCCCTACATGTGCATGCGCCCCTACATGTGCACGCGCCCCTACATGTGCACGCGCCCCTACATGTGCACGCGCCCCTACATGTGCACGCGCCCCTACATGTGCACGCGCCCCTACATGTGCATGCGCCCCTACATGTGCACGCGCCCCTACATGTGCATGCGCCCCTACATGTGCACGCGCCCCTACATGTGCACGCGCCCCTACATGTGCACGCGCCCCTACATGTGCATGCGCCCCTACATGTGCACGCGCCCCTACATGTGCATGCGCCCCTACATGTGCACGCGCCCCTACATGTGCATGCGCCCCTACATGTGCACGCGCCCCTACATGTGCACGCGCCCCTACATGTGCACGCGCCCCTACATGTGCACGCGCCCCTACATGTGCATGCGCCCCTACATGTGCACGCGCCCCTACATGTGCATGCGCCCCTACATGTGCATGCGCCCCTACATGTGCATGCGCCCCTACATGTGCATGCGCCCCTACATGTGCATGCGCCCCTACATGTGCATGCGCCCCTACATGTGCATGCGCCCCTACATGTGCATGCGCCCCTACATGTGCATGCGCCCCTACATGTGCATGCGCCCCTACATGTGCATGCGCCCCTACATGTGCATGCGCCCCTACATGTGCATGCGCCCCTACATGTGCATGCGCCCCTACATGTGCATGCGCCCCTACATGTGCATGCGCCCCTACATGTGCATGCGCCCCTACATGTGCATGCGCCCCTACATGTGCATGCGCCCCTACATGTGCATGCGCCCCTACATGTGCATGCGCCCCTACATGTGCATGCGCCCCTACATGTGCATGCGCCCCTACATGTGCATGCGCCCCTACATGTGCATGCGCCCCTACATGTGCATGCGCCCCTACATGTGCATGCGCCCCTACATGTGCACGCGCCCCTACATGTGCATGCGCCCCTACATGTGCATGCGCCCCTACATGTGCATGCGCCCCTACATGTGCATGCGCCCCTACATGTGCATGCGCCCCTACATGTGCATGCGCCCCTACATGTGCACGCGCCCCTACATGTGCACGCGCCCCTACATGTGCATGCGCCCCTACATGTGCATGCGCCCCTACATGTGCATGCGCCCCTACATGTGCATGCGCCCCTACATGTGCATGCGCCCCTACATGTGCATGCGCCCCTACATGTGCATGCGCCCCTACATGTGCATGCGCCCCTACATGTGCACGCGCCCCTACATGTGCATGCGCCCCTACATGTGCACGCGCCCCTACATGTGCACGCGCCCCTACATGTGCATGCGCCCCTACATGTGCATGCGCCCCTACATGTGCATGCGCCCCTACATGTGCACGCGCCCCTACATGTGCACGCGCCCCTACATGTGCATGCGCCCCTACATGTGCATGCGCCCCTACATGTGCATGCGCCCCTACATGTGCACGCGCCCCTACATGTGCATGCGCCCCTACATGTGCATGCGCCCCTACATGTGCACGCGCCCCTACATGTGCACGCGCCCCTACATGTGCATGCGCCCCTACATGTGCATGCGCCCCTACATGTGCATGCGCCCCTACATGTGCATGCGCCCCTACATGTGCATGCGCCCCTACATGTGCATGCGCCCCTACATGTGCATGCGCCCCTACATGTGCACGCGCCCCTACATGTGCACGCGCCCCTACATGTGCATGCGCCCCTACATGTGCACGCGCCCCTACATGTGCACGCGCCCCTACATGTGCATGCGCCCCTACATGTGCATGCGCCCCTACATGTGCATGCGCCCCTACATGTGCATGCGCCCCTACATGTGCATGCGCCCCTACATGTGCATGCGCCCCTACATGTGCATGCGCCCCTACATGTGCATGCGCCCCTACATGTGCATGCGCCCCTACATGTGCATGCGCCCCTACATGTGCACGCGCCCCTACATGTGCACGCGCCCCTACATGTGCACGCGCCCCTACATGTGCACGCGCCCCTACATGTGCACGCGCCCCTACATGTGCACGCGCCCCTACATGTGCACGCGCCCCTACATGTGCACGCGCCCCTACATGTGCACGCGCCCCTACATGTGCACGCGCCCCTACATGTGCACGCGCCCCTACATGTGCACGCGCCCCTACATGTGCACGCGCCCCTACATGTGCACGCGCCCCTACATGTGCACGCGCCCCTACATGTGCATGCGCCCCTACATGTGCATGCGCCCCTACATGTGCATGCGCCCCTACATGTG